GAGAGAGACAGAGAGAAAGAAAGTGGGAAATCATTCCCCAGGGGGGGAATAATGGTCAGACCACAATCCCTTTTCCTCCATTCTCTTCTCAGGATAGTATTTTGGACACACACATACGTGCCCAGTGTGATTTTAAAAAAAAATTTTCTTTATTCATTTTTTATTTTAATTTAACGAACAAGAGAGAGAGAGAGAGAGAGAGAGAGTGAGAAATCAAGCCACCAGGTCCAGGACTTGAACCGTGGTCAGCCATGTGGGTATGTCTAGTGCTTTAACCTCCATGAAACCTGCTGGCCCCCCAGTGTGATTTTCAAGGCAATGTATCTGGAACTTGAACCACTCGCTGGCCATATGGGACTCTAGCACTTTAACCACCATGCCACCTGCTGGCCCCCATGATGGCCTTTTTTTAAGAAAGGTTTTTTTGGGACCAGTAGTTAGCATAATGGCTATGTTGCTGAACTCCCATGTAGTCGACCGTGGTTTGAGTCCCAGACTCGGTGGCTTAAACTCACGCCGGGCGCGTGTGCGTGTGTGCCCAAGATCCCGAGAGGAGAATGAAGAAGGGATTGAGGCGTGGCCATCCCCCCTGGGGTGATTTCTCGCTTTCTATCTCTCTTTCTGTCGTGCACATGTGCCCTATAGCAAACACCTCTTAAAAAAAAGTTTTTGCCACAGGGCACATGCATTCACTGCAGAGAGGCAGGAAGAGACAGAAGGAGAGAGAGAGAAATCAGCTCCGGGGGATGGCCACATCGCAGTTCCTTCTCCGTTCTCCTGAGATTTTGTGCATGCACGCACATGTGTCCGGTGTGATTTTTAAGCTAGCAGTTCTGCGACTCAGACCACAGGCGGCCACGTCGGAGTCCAGCACTGTAACTGCCAGCTAGCTGCTAGCCCCTCAGTGATAGCCTTTTGATGTTGGCGCCCTCTCCTTTGGTTTGGAGGCTGTCCAGGTGGTAGGGAGAGGCATGTGACTAGAGAAGCCATGCACCAAAGACGGGAGGGCAAGTGTTCTATCCTGTTGTGTTGTGCTTTTTTATAGGGCAGGTTTTCATATCTTTTTATTAGTAGGAAAGACTCTTCCTGTCTGATAAAAGAATAACAGCAATAACTGCTTTAGAGAACAATCTGTTCTTTTGATATGTAAAATGAACATACGACAGATATGAGAAAGGAAAAATTTTTAGAAGAAAAATTCTGGGAGATAGGGCTTTTTCTGAGAAAGTATCATTAAATAAAAGAATACTTTCTTCTTTGAGCTAGAATTGTGTTTGCAGTGGGAAGCTTCTCCGGTTGCAGAATAGATATCCTTCGACATTATTCTCCATTCCTTAGATTTCCATGAAGACAACTTCTAAGGACCTGGATGGCCTCATTTTAGCTGCTTCAGCGTGCGGAGCGATTATTTGCTCCTTCATTACCTCGGCCTGGTGTAACAGTGGCTCTGAGCGCCATGAAGGTTGTCCCAGAGAAGAATGCTGTCCGGATACTCTGGGGGCGAGAACTGGGCACTCGGGCCATGGGAGCTCAGCGACTTCTGCAGGAGCTGGTGGAAGATAAAACCCGGTGGATGAAATGGGAGGGCAAGGTAAGAAATTTTTTTAGCAAATTAAAGTTCAGGACCTGCAGATGAGGTAGCACTTAAGTTTCTGGACTCCTAAGTAGTTGACCACGGTTTGAGTCCTGGACCCAGCAGCTTAAAATTCAGACTGGGTGCGTGTGCGTGTGCGCCCAAAATCTCAATAGGAGAATAGAGGAGAAGGGATTGTGGTGGGGCCATCCTCCCAGGGGGTGATTTCTTGCTTTCTGTCTCTCTGTCTCTTCAGCAAGTGCCTGTACCCTATAGCAAAAATCTCTCACTGAAAAAAAAGAAAATTAAAGTTCATTTATTCTGAGGGGGGAGAGAGACAGACAGACAGGTACCTTTAATGGGATCTTCACATTGTGATCCACCCCCAACCTCAGCCAGCCCAGATCACAGGCATGTGCACATACCTGGCATGTACCGGGAGGCACCGGGATGCAAACTCGGGACCTTTCCGTGTGGGTCTGGTTGTAGTACTATTCCATCACTGGCCTCAAAGTGGATTTTTTTTCCCCCACAGGATTTGGAGGGGTGATAGTCAAATGAGACTTTAGAATGGATTTATGGCAGAAAGTTAGGGTTTAATTTGTTGGGGTATAAATTATAATTCAGAGAATTGATATGTCTGACTTAGGAAGTTGTTTACAAATATGGAAGAATTTATGGCTAGAAATATATGTTTCCTTTGGAGCTAGACAGGTTTCCTAAGGTAATTTAGATTTCTCTCTCTCAATTTGTAGCTTGATCATTGTCTCCAGTTTTTGGCCTACACTGTGAATACTAATCTAGAATGGTTCATGTGCTTTTGAGTTAGAGTGAGCCAAGTTTATAAATAATGTATTTTAACTTTTTTTCTTCTCTTCCCAGAGAGTAGAACTGCCAGATAGTCCACGCTCTACCTTCTTACTGGCCTTCAGCCCCGACAGGTACCTAGTACTTACCTACAACTTAACCGTCAGATTTGTGATAGTACTGCTTTCTGTATCCACGGCCTAGCTTTGGTCTTGCACGGCAGTCGCTAAAGGCTCTCTGATGTCGTGTATGAACAGAGTTTTGCCATTGTTAACAGTAAGGCAAGGAAAGTAGAGAAGCGATACTCGCTAGAAAAATAATGGGAATATGCAAAGGAAGCCGTGAACGTAGAGGATCAAGACTTAGCGAGTTTTTCAGCAGCTATCCTTTGCCTGTGCGATTCAGGTCACCAGCGTCATGATGATTTTACCAGCTGAAAACTATTTTCTGAAGGCGACATATGTCATTTGGGGACAGTGGAAAGCCAAAAACTTTCAGATAAAGAGCAGAATATTTCTTTGTTTTATACACATGTGTCTAATGCACAGGCTCGGTTTCTTTTGGGGTAGGATGGGAAGTAGTATTAGTTTCCTGTGTTGTCCAGAGTTGACACGTTCGCTACCCTTCCGCATGCTTCTCAATGCACTCCTGCTCTTTGATTCTAGGACTCTCTTGGCCTCCACCCATGTGAATCATAATATCTACATTACGGAGGTGAAGACTGGCAAGTGTGTCCACTCTCTGATTGGACACCGCCGCACTCCATGGTGTGTCACGTTTCACCCCACCATCTCAGGCCTTATTGCTTCTGGCTGCCTAGATGGGGAAGTTAGGATTTGGGATTTACATGTAAGTATTTCCTAGATGACCCTTTTATTTGGTATTCTAAATACACTCGTTGACCACTGGCTTCTTAATCCTGGAAGGAGAGACTAGCTAGGGTCTTAGGACGGTATCTGAATATGTGGTAGTCATGGCCTACCTAAGTGATAAGAAGTCCAGTTTATAGTCCTCCATTCTAGGATGAGTTCTCTAATGACCTGTTTTCTTCCACTTGCCTGTTTTGACATAGTTCAGGAGGCTTTATTTATGTGTTCAGGATGAAGTTCTACTTTCTTAGGAAATAGTCTATTGTACTGTTCTCTGACTATGATCATGAAGGCAAGCTACGCCTTGTCTTGGTGATTAATTAACGGGCTGTTGTGCACTGTACCCGAGTTTTCACAGACTTCAGAAATAACGGGACCCAACAGATTGCGTAATGCTTACGTTACTGAACTCCCTTGTAGTCGACCATGGTTCGAGTTCCAGACCCGGTGGCTTAAAACTCAGGCCGGGTGCATTTGTATGTGTTTCCAAAATCTCAAGAGAAGAATGGAGGAGAAAGAATTGCAGTGTGGCCATCGCCTCTGGGTGGGATGATTTCTTGCTTTCTGTTTCTCTGTCTGTCTTTATCTCTTTGAGTGCACGTGCCCTATAGCAAAAAAAATATCTCTCTTAAAAGCAAACAAACAAAAAGAAATAGGGACTGTGCATATGGTTATTGTTTGTGGACATTAGATGACCTGAAAAACTGAGCTCACAGTCTTTTTTGTCTGATAAATTAGTGGTACTGCTTGGTCACTGATCTTCTACATCATTTTACAGAGGACATGTTTAAAGTAGCCCCTTTAGTCATTTTACCTTTTAAATAGACCTTCCTTGAAATAGACTCTGCAGTCTGCATTCAGCTAATAACCTGAGTGTATTTGTGATTGCTTTACTCACAGGGTGGCAGTGAAAGCTGGTTCACAGACAGCAATAATGCCATCGCCTCCCTGGCGTTCCACCCTACGGCTCAGCTCTTGCTGATCGCCACTGCCAATGAAATCCACTTCTGGGACTGGAGTCGGCGTGAGCCCTTTGCTGTGGTGAAGACAGCGAGTGAGATGGAACGGGTTCGGTGAGTGCTTTACCCCATCAGCAGCGTCTGGTATTGGACTGACATGATAGAAAACTTTATATCCTCTGTCATCTCAGGAGACAGGTTGTCACACCTGCTTAGTGCCACATGTGAGAGAGAGAGAGAGAGAGAGAGAGAGAGAAAGAGGAGCACCCTCCCCAGGAGTTGGCCATAGTGCGATCCCCTTCTTGTAGTCTTCCAGCCTATTGGATCTTGAAATATGCCAACAGAGTTATCTGGTGCATTTCAGCCTGACTCGGCCGGGATTTCAAACTGTGGTCGCCATGTGGTGTCCAGGTTCACTTGCGAGTATTACCCCGTGCCATGGAGCTGCCCTAGTTTTCTAGTTTGTGCTGTCACTTGATCCTGGGACTGTTCATTGTCACCAGAATTCATGCTGCTTGCCTGTGTAGCTGCTACGTGAGGCAAGAACTGACCCCGTGGTAGAATACGGTAGCATTCCATACTGTTAGGGTGAGCTTGTAGATAAGAGCAAATATGTGCTTGCCGTAACTGTTACCTAGGGTAGAAGCCTCAGTGATTTTTCCAGAAATGATACATGCTCATTAACACTGGAAGGACGTATCAAGGCTTTTTATTTTAATCTACTTTTTAAAATGTCTTGCGTGAGGGGGCTAGCAGGTGGCATAGTGGTTATGTCACTGGCCTCTCACATGGCCAACTGCGTGGACTCAGTGGCTTGAAAATCACACCAGATGTGTGTGCATGTGTGTCCAAGATCCCAGGAGGAAAATGGAGGAAAAGGGATTGTGCTGTGGCCCTCCCTTCTGGGGGTGATTTTGATTTCTGTCTCTCCAAAAAAAACCCCAGAAAACAAAACAAAAAGTCTTGCACGAAGTACATAATCCCACAGTTACCAGTAATGATTGCTATAAATTTGGACAGCTTTCTCTTCTCAGTTAACATAATCTCTCTTTGTGTGTCTATCTCTTCTATGGTTTCAGTCTGGTGAGATTTGATCCACTTGGACACTACTTGCTCACGGCAATTGTCAATCCCTCTAATCAGCAGGTAAGAAATTCACCAGTTCCGGGAACCAGCAGTTAGCCTAATGGCTATGTCGCTGGACTCCCACGTAGTCGACCGCGGTTCGCGTCCTGGACCCGGTGGTTTAAAACACGCTGGGCGTGTGTGCATGAGTGCCCAAGATCCCCAGAGGAGAATGGAGGAGAAGGGATTGCGGCGTGGCCATCCCCCCTGGGGGGGGGATTTCTCGTTTCTTTCTTTTTGTCTCTCTCTTGCTG